TAACAACCCGTCCCAGGACAGCTTCGTTATCCTCCAAACGTGCCTCGGCTTGTGCTTGCATGCAAGGTGTTTTCATCTTCTCCACCACGAAGTAAGATTCATAGTCTCATAGTCTTCAAGTGCGAACTCTTGATCACGAGGTCGTCTACATTTCCGAGCACGCTGATGATGCAGATGAGGATTCCCTGCCGTCGATCACTCGAGAGTCGCCTGACAGACATGACATCCCAAACCCTACAAAATCCAAATCGTAAGCAGAGAGATGCAGAGGTCTGAAGACGCAGTGACCTAGTGTTAGTATCCCGCAATCTCCCCTATTTGTCCCTGCAATATACCCCGAACCCGACTCTGATGATCAAGGCCCTGTCGGTATGTCCGAGAGAACAGGATCCCAACTTCAGCTTTCGGCAGTGTGCAACGTCGGTTACATGCTGAAAAGACGATCTGCAGCGACTGTGGTAGGGTTGTGCTCAGGTACAGTGTAGCTGGGAGGGCTGTAAAGGGCTGTGTATGATGTAAGGCCTTCATTTGTCGTCTCCACATACTCACACCCCAAATATTTTCACTCACCAACTGCAGGAGCTGTATAGGTCCTTCGGTACAGACCTGAACAGTAGCTATGGTGGTAAGCGGCACTCCCCTTATAATTATAGACCCTCCATAGCTGCATTATGATGTACCCTCGAACCCCCGGGTTCCAAAACGGCTACGCTCAGCCAAGGGCTGATGCTTCGTTTCGTGCGGAGGATATCTGTCATACTCCGTTGTTTCGCAGCAGGTTAGGGTTCAGGGTTTAGGGTTTAGACCATGCTTGTGATACCATCGTGTCCATATGCATCTTTCATCACCTATCTACATGCACAGCATCACACCCGGCACCCATACAAACCTGACTACCTTGTACCATATTGCACCACCTTAACCTACCATAACCTACTTTGGTGTAGGTTCTTACTACAAACCCTAATATGGGATTGAAAAGGGCCCTACAAAAAACTAGGTTCTGGTAGGTTAAGGTATCTTCGGTTATGCTACGCACCTTGCCTATAGTCTCCATTGTAGTTCCTTTTGGGGGATCCCTGATAAACTCCTGAATATATAGTTGGTTAAACCAAAAAAGGAACCACAATGGAGACTACAGGTAGCATCTTTTGATGCTAGACTTGGCCTCGGGTACGCTAAACCCTAAACCCTAAGCCCTAAACCCTAAACCCTAAACCTCAAACCCCAAACCCTAAACCCTAAAGCCTAAACGCTAAACCCTAAGCCC